AATGTATGAAATTAACAGGTTGTGCACTTTACATTTATACAACATTATATGTCAAATATATTGCAATGAAAAAAATATTAGTCTCATCCAGAAACACTCTCAGACACACAGATAATGTTTGACCAAATATCTGGGCACTCTGTGCCCCAGTCAAGTAGACACATAAAATTGCCCATTATAAGAAGGAAGACAGAATGATAACAAAGACAGAAAACTAAAAGAATATGCTGGTGTGAGACTAGATAGTGTAGGGTTAGTGACTTTATATTTCTCAGACCTCCCAATAACTGTATCTTGCAATTACGTTATGTGCTGTGATTAGTGGTGACCATAACAGAGCATGACTTATATAGGAGAAGAGGTGAATTCTGTTTTCGATGTACTAGGTTTGGAGAGGACCAGGTAAACAGGTCTCTCCCTAGGGGCTCCAACCTCTCCCTAGTTGCAGCCAGAGGAGGACTTACGTTTTCCACGTCCTCGGTGTCCCTATCACACCCTTTTGGGATCAGCTTCACTGCTCTCCTGATGGAGTCCCCTGGGCTAAAATCAATTGTTTCTGAATCAGTTGATTAGGTGATTCTCATTCATTTCTTCATTTCTTTACATAGAATTTAAAAAATTTTGTTCTTCAGACACAAAAAAATGTTCAATATCACTCATCATCACGGAAATTCAAATCAAAACCACAATGAGATACCACCTCACACCTCTCAGAATGGCTAACATTAACAACTCAGGCAACAACAGATGCTGGTGAGGATGCAGAGAAAGAGGATCTCTTTTGCACTGCTGGTGGGAATGCAAACTGGTGCAACCACTCTGGAAAACAGTATGGAGATTCCTTGAAAAATTAAAAATAGAACTACCTTATAACCTAGCAATTGCACTACTAGGTATTTATCCAAGGGACATGGGTGTGCTGTTTTGAAGGGGCACATGGATCCCAAAGTTAATAGCAGCGCTATCAACAATAGCCAAAGTATGAAAAGAGCACAAATGTCTACTGACAGATGAATGGATAAAGATGTGGTATGTATACACAATGGAGTATTACTCAGCAATAAAAAAGAATGAAATCTTGCCATTTGCAACTACGTGGTTGAAGCTGGAGGGTATTATGCTAAGTGAAATTAGTCAGAGAAAGACAAATATCATATGATTTCACTCATATGTGGAATTTAAGATAAACAGATGAACATAGGGAAGGGAAACAAAAATAATATAAAAAAACAAGGAGGGGGACAAAACATAAAAGACTTAAACAGAGGGTTGCTGGAGGGGTTGTGGGAGGGGGAATGGTCTTAATGGGTAAGGGGCATTAAGGAATCTACTCCTGAAATCATTGTTGCACCATATGCTAACTAACTTAGATGTAAAGTAAACAATAACTAAATTTAAAAAGATTAAAAAACCAAAAAATCTTGTTTTTTAAAAAAGTTTTTTAATGTTTATTTATTTTTGACAGAGAGAGAGAGCATCAGAGGAGGAGCAGAAAGTGAGAGAGGGAGACATAGAATCTGCTCCAGGCTCTGAGCTAGCTGTCAGCACATTGCCTGACACAGGGCTCGAACCCACGAACCGTGAGATCATGACCTGAGCCTAAGTCTGACACTTAACCAACTGAGCCACCCAGGAACCCCTAGAAAATCTTGTTTTTGACAATGGGAAAATAGACATGAGGGACTCATCAGGCATCTTCCAGTCTGCTGGGAGCAATGAAGAAGGTACTGATATCATGTGATGGAGGCTGAGATGACATTTTAGCATCAGATGCTGTGCAAGGATACTGGGGACTCCTAACTCAGCCCAAGTGGGCTAAAGGTGGAAGCCCAGCTTCAGTGATGCTTAAAGGAGGACTCAAAGCCAGCCAGGGGGTTGGATAGAGAGGATGTGTTGGTCAGAGGGAATCACATATAGCATAGCATGTATGACCTGGATGCAAAGCATTGTCACGTATTTAGGGATCTATAAAAAGTTTGGTAAGAACCGTGGTTCTCAGCCCTGGTAGCATTTTGGGATCACCTGAAAGCACTAAAAACAAAAGCAAAACCTGATACCTGAGCCCTAGCCCAGAGATTTTGACATGATTTGCCCGGGATGGGGTCTAGACATCAGTGTTTTCTCTAATGTGCTGCCGGGGGCTGAGAACCAGGAATGTAAGAGCTGCTGCTGGAGAACTTAAACCCGCAGAGAGTCAGTGGAGGATCTCTGCTAGGATGAGGTCAAGAACCTGAGCTCCTCTGGGGCAACGGGAAAGACCTCTGCAGAGCTCAGTGGGGAAATAAAGACCTACTGATCCGCAACTGGGCCTTATCTGCCCTCATAACTGTTTCTTTTAAGCTGCTGTTTCTTATTCACCATTTAAAAGTGAAAGTCAAGTGGGAAATAACAAAACATACAATAAAATAAAATAAGCTGAAAGATTACTCAATAAAAAGAAGCGATAAAATAGTAAAAGCAGGCCAATGCAGTAAAAACCCCAAATCTCAACCAGACAGAATCACCACCAAGGGCCAGACAATAAAAACGAGAGCTAAAATGTACTGAACTAACCGCTAGCCATCTTCATGCATTAGGAAAGGATTATTTCCATTTTACAGAGGAGCATAATGAGGCATGGGGAGATTAAGTACTGTGGTTCTAGTGGGCAGGGCAGGTTAAATAGCCAGCAGGGGACAGAGTAAGACATTGAACTTGGGTGTACTTAACTCAAGTCCAGAGTTCTGAAGGCTCAAGCTTGGCTGCACACTGGAGCATCTGGGGAGTCTTTAAGAAATACGAATGCCATGGGGCACCTGGGTGGCTCAGTCGGTTATGCATCCAACTTCGGTTCAGGTCATGATCTTGAGGTTCATGAGTTTGAGACCCATGTCCGTCTGTGTGCTGACAGCTCAGAGCCTGGAGCCTGCTTCTGATTCTGTGTCTCCCTCTCTCTCTACCCCTCCCCCGCTTGCTTTCTGTCTCTCTCTCTTTCAAAAATAAACATTAAAAAATTTTTAGAGAAATATTGATGCCAAAAAGATGTTTCTCCAAAGAAGACATGAAAATGGTCAACAGGTATATGTAAAAACAAAACAAAACAAAAAAGCTTAATGTCATTAATCATCCAAGAAATGCAAATCCAAACCACGAGGGAGATAGCATCTCATATATGTCAGGATGCCTATTCAAAAAACAGGACAACAAAGCATTGGCGATGATATAGAGAAAATGGAACCTTCGTGCACTGCTGGTGGGAATGCAAGATGGTGCAGTCACTGTGGAAAACAATAAAAATGAAACGACCATATGATTTAGAAATCCCACTTCTGGGTATTTCTCTGAAATAATTGCAATCGGGATCTCAAAAAGATATTAGAACTCCCGTGTTCACTGCAGCATTTTTCACAATAGCTGAGATGTGGAAACAACCTAAATGTTCCTTCACAGATGAATGGTTAGAGAAGATGTGGTATATGCACATAATGGTATGCTATTCAGCCAGAGAACAAAATGAGGGTTGCTGGAGGGATGGGAGGATGGGTTAAAGTGGTGATGGGCATTAAGGAGGGCACTTATTGGGATGAGTACTGGGTGTCACAGGTAGGAGATGAATCACTGGGTTTTACTCCTGAAGCCAAGACTACACTGTACGTTAACTAACTTGAATATAAATAAAAATAAAATAAAATAAAGGAAAGGAAGAAATTCTGTCATGTGCTACAACACGAATGAACTTGAGGACATTATGTTCAGTGAAATGAATTGGTCATAGAAAAAGACTTCACAATTCTTGTTGTGTGAGCTATCTACAGTAGTTAAGTTTGTAGAAACAAAGAGTGGAATGGTGGCTGTTAGGTGCTGGGGAGGGGGAAATGGGGAGTTATTAATCAATAGACATACAGTTTTCAGTTAAGCAAGATGAATAAGCTCTAGATCTTTTGTACAACATTGTACCTATAGTCAACAGTGCTGTAGATATACTTACGGATTTGTTGACGTTAAATCTCATGTGAAGTGTTCATACCACAATTTAAAAAAATAAAAAGAAGTCTTAAGGTGATCTCGGCCAACCCTTGACTTTAAACTGGTGGATCTGGGATGGGGTGCAGGCAGATAGGGTGAGCAGGTGTAATTCAACATGTTTATGGCAATCCTCTGTTCTTAGTAGTAATTGCTCCTATCAATTGAGTACCCTGAGTACCAAGCACTTAATCCTTCTTCTCCTCCTCCTCCTTCTTCTTCCTTTTTAAATAGGCTTCATGCCCAGTGTGGAGCCCAACACGGAGCTTGAACTCCTGACCCTGAGATCAAGAATTGGACATTTAACTGACTGAGCCACCCAGGTGCCCCTGGATACTTCTGATGTTGTTATTCTCACTTGAGAATTGAGGAAACTAAGAGGTTAAGTCACTTTTCCTGGCTCACCCAGCTGGTAGTCGCGAGTATCTGTGCTCATTCCCAGATCCAGCTGACTCCAAAGCCCAGGCTCTAACTGCTGTGCCATCCAACCTCCAAGCAGAGGCCCCTGTGGGGTACAGACACGGGTGTTACATGTCCTTCCACTTCACTTCTTTGTCCCTCAAGCTTTAGGGTCCACAGCATCACCTTTGTCTCAGGCTTGTCCACACTGAACTGTCATCATCCAGATGCAGAAAACAGACCTCTGTGGCTCAGCACTAAGAAAGAACTTTTTGCCAGTTGGAGCAGTTTGACGCCTGGGGAGGTGGTGTGCACCTGTCATTGTCATCACTGGGCAACCACCTGAAGGGTCTGTTGGGAGCTGAGGAGTCATCCTTCAATGTGTTGTGGTGTGTGTGTGTGTGTGTGTGTGTGTGTAGGTGGTCAAGAAAGATTGGGCCTAGATACTCCTAACATGTTCCCAGTCCTGAAATTGAGGGGCTCAGAGGACCAGTTGAAACTCAATGGGTGAAGATGGTTCTAGGAGATGAGCTCACAGAACTGGGGGATTCCAGAAGGCCTGACATCAGTCTGGAGCCTGCCCTCCCCCATCATTCTCTTAAAGCTGGGTGCCTGGGGCCCTAGCACTATCATGGGGGTGTCCTGAGCTGAAGCAGGGTGTTGGGTCACTGCTGCTGCCACCATTGTCACTGCTGTGTCAGCTCTGGTAGGGACAACACCTGATCAGTGAGCCCCCTTCCCCTCTTCCTGCAGCTGTTAACCAGTCCCTGGCTGGCTTGGCCAGAGACGGACATGGAAAAAGAAAGGTGGTGGTCAGGAATGGAGGGGGGTTAGCCCTGGGCTGGGAGAGCACCCAGCTGAGAGAGAAAGAGGAGACCTTGCTGGCAGGTGCCTGGTCTCTGAATTACCAGACCTCACTCCTTACACCCCTCGACCTGCTGTGAAACACTCGAGATGAAGTTAGTTTTAAATCTCTTGGCTACAAAAAGTCAAAAACAATCTCCATGTAGCAGTCAACTTAGTTTCTTCATTTATAAAGGGGGATATTACTCCTACGCCTCTTGAGTTATTGAGAATATTAGATGAGATTAAGTTAGAAAACATCCAGGAAAGGCCCACTGCAGTGTCCACCAGGTTTGGAGAACTCAGCGAGGTTTCCCTGACCCCTGACCTCCCCACCCCCACTTTGCTGGGGAAGTTTCATGCTCTTTGGGGTCAGGACCTCAGGATGCTTCAGTCTAAGCAGCCACTTCATACCAGCAACTCTGCTTGATCCTTAGGATGTGAAGATAAACAAGACGGCCATTGTTCTTTGGAAGTTCACTGTATGGTGGGAAAGACTCATGTATATTACATGTGACAGAGGGATGACAGAGGCACAGGGTGCTTGGGGAGCATGAGGGTACTGGAGGACTCAGCTCTGGTGTGACCCTACAAGTATGAGTAAGAGTTAGGCATGGAAAGGAAGGGCAGGGCTACTGCCAGACAGTGGTATCACCATGAGTGCACAGTAAGGCATTACAGGAACTCACTGTGTGAGTGAAGAGAGGTCCTTGTGGCTGGGTCACCAGGGGCCTTGTGGACCATGCCTAGGAGCAGTGATGCAGGGTGTCAGGTGGCCAGCCTTTTTGTTTAAAAAAAAAAAAAAAACAACTCATGGTGGTAAATGTGTGTAGAACAGTGTGGAAGAAGAGTCAGGACTGGATGCAAGGAGCCCACCATCATGCCGCGATGGTGGTCTGAACTCTTGGAGGGAGGGTACAATCAGTGGCACTCTGGGATCGACTGTCTGAGGAAGGGTGAAGGGGGTAATGATAGAGGGAGTGAAGAATGCCATCCGTATTTCTAGTTTGGGTAAATGTGTCTAAACTAAAAAAAGTTTCGAGTTTCAAGCCAAGAATGTTTGCAACCCAGAAACGAAAGACTTAAGGAAGCAGACTTTAGTGGGGACATCGGTTCTGTTTTGGACATGCTTAGTCTGAGGTGACTGTGGGATATCTAAATGGAAATGTCCAGAAGGTAACGCACAGGGGGTCTACCATTCTGGGGAAGATGGAATATGATGTCATCAGACTGCAGGTGGCAGTTAACAGTTGGGTGGCCCACAGGGTATCCTGACGTGAAAAAGAGGAGGGTAAGAGCTGAAAATCATTCTAGCATTTAAGACCTAGGCAGAAGTGGAGTCCACAAAGGGGAATCAGAAGAATTAGTCTGAGAAGCAGGGGACTCAAGAGAGGGAACATCATGGAAGCCAAGAGAGGGAAGAGACTCAACAGTTACATTGGTCAGCAGTGTGAGGGGCTGCTGAGTGCCCCTGTGGGACAAGAAGTGACAAGGCCCATTGAACTGGGCAGAACAATTTCAGACAAGTGGTGGTGGTGAGGCCAACCATCACGGGGTTGAGAGCAAATGGGGAGGTGAGAAAGTGGTAATTTTTCCCATAGAAGTTTCCATGAGAAGAGAGGGAAAGAGACCAGTCCGTGTAGATAATGATGAGACCCAAGTGCGTCTATGTATCAGAAGGAGAGGCAAGTGGGAGGAGGTGCTGAGGACTCCGGTAGAAGAGAGATGATCCGTGGGGCAAGGTTGAGAGTCAGGAAAGAGTGAAATCTGGAGCTTGCAGATGTGATGGACCTTGACAAGTGCAGGGGCAATGCATGATCACGCTAGAAGGGTGGAGGTGAGCGGGATGAGGCCGCTGCTGCCCCTGAGGCAGGAGGTGAGGTCTTTTGGGAGCTTTGGGGTGGGGCAGGGAGGAGAGGCTTGTGGACAGTAATGAGCATCTTGAATACTCTTTGAAGGAAATGGGAGAGAGAAAGCTGGCCAAAGACTAACATTAGTGCTGGTTCCAGAAATAGTCCATAATAGAAATAACTAACCTATTTTTAGTGCAAAGAGCTAAGTTCTCTCCGTGCCTTTCTTTTCTCATTCATTCTTTCGACAGTCTTATGAGGCAGGTGTTATTCACTTCCTTATTGCATAGCTAAAGAAAATGAGGCTCAGAAAGTGTCCAGAGTCAGAGATGTTGAATTGAGCGGTGAGGAGGTGGGGTTCAAACTCAGGGCTCACTGCAAAGCCCCACCCTTAATCCACCTTGTTACCCTCAATGCCTTGAAGGCCCATTGGGGTTGGAAGCCAGGGGTTTTTAGGGATACCTGTTCATGAGGCTGTGTGGCCTTTTGTCTTTTTGACTCTGTGAAGGTGGACAGCAGGTGTGGTGGGATAGAGATCATGGGAGAGGGGGAAGATGTGTCAGGGGTCAGGGTCAGGGAGACACTGGAATGGAGGGGAGGTGGCAAGATGCAGGGATGGCAAGGCCATGGGAGTGGGTGGCTAAGACAGAGTGGAGGCAAAGGTCATAATCAGGGACGAATGTCCTTCATCATATCGAGGGCTGGCCAACAGAGCCAGTGCTGAGAGGCAAGCCAAAGGAGCTGAGGTGAGAGCTTCAAAGGAGAGAGGCTTTTGCAAGGTGATAGTTTAGAAAGGGTGGTGGACATGAAGGAGAATTTCAGTACCACCTTGGGGCCATGTGTGGATGAAAGGGCAGCCCCACTTGGGAGGGCTGAGGGGTGGTAGTTTTGTATGGGGGGACTTTATCTCAGGCCTGGCTCAGCGCTAGGAGAGAGCTCCCCGGACGGCCAGGTGTTAGGGACTGACTTACACAATGATGACATTGCTGAGCCCTTGCCCTCTGGAAACACACGCTCATGGCCATAACTCACTCTGGAGCTCTGGAGTCATGTAAACTGTGATCTCATTCCAAATTTTGCCCCTTCCTAGCTGTGAAACAGAGGGCCTCAGGATTCGATCATGCCTGGCATGTAGTATGGAGCTCCAAACAGGTCCCTGTTCTTCCCCATTTCCCCTCCCCTCTCAGCTGCTGGGGGAAAGGTAGAACAGGATTGAGAGGAGCTGACCTCAGGGATCCCTCTCCTGGATCTGGAATCTCAGTGGCGTGGCTGATGCTTCACCAGGACCGCAAGGGAGATGATTTGCAATGTTGGAACCTTTGCCCCCTTTTCCCAGGTATGCTCAGGACCTGGTTTTCTTTTTCTTCCAAAGGGTAACCTCTTGTGACTGGACATCCAGGGCTGTTGAGCTGTCTGCCATCTCAAAACCCAGCTGTGAGCCAGCGTGGCGGGGGCTGTGCATGGAAGCCAGGAGCTGGGCTCCCAGAAGGCAACGGTGCCCGCCGGGGATCATGCTGCTGGCCTTTGCCTCTGTGCTCAGCTGCCTGCTCATCTCCAGCCAGGCCAGGGTCTACAGTCGCTGTGAGCTGGCCAGAGCACTCCAGGATTTTGGCATGGAGGGATACCGGGGATACAGCATGGCTGACTGTGAGAACCCCTCTCCCTTCCAGGCTCCCCCCAGGTGCCTCCCCATCCTCCTCCCCTCCCTCCCTACTCTCACTCAGGGAGTATGGCCTTGGCAGCTTTCTGAGTTTCAGCTCTCCTTTGGGCATCAAAGGTTCTATGACCTAAGATTCTATGATGGGTAGGTGACACTCAGCACAAGTTAGATACATGATAGGCCACAAGCAGCCCAATCAGCATGCTTCTTCATCCTCTGTCCCTGCTGCTAAGGTCACCCGTCAAAGGAATAGAATAGCTTAGCACCCTGATCATAATGGCAGCCACGGGGATAGGATGTTCCCATTGACTTTTAGGGTAGACTGTGCAAACCAGTATCACCAAACTTTCCAACTGCTGGTAGTTTTCGGGAAGCTGTGAGGTCCAGCCACATCTGGACTCATTTTTTTTTTTTCTAGTGCCTGGCTCCTTGCTAGCTCTCAGCTGTGTCTTCCTCATCTTGCCTCTAAAGACCTAACTCTTTCTTGTTCCTTCATCCCATAGTGATTTCTCAGGCCCCACTGTGTGCTGAGTGGTGAGATAGTAGGGAGGCTGCTCTAGGAGTCAGGAGGCCTGAGGGAACAGTCTCAACTCTTGCTCTTTGGTAGTTATGGTGACCTTGAGTGAGTCACTTGCCTCCCCACCCTGCCCCCCTCCCCAAGCCTTGGTGGAGTCATTTGCACAGTAGGTGGGAGTCCAGATGCCCTGATAACCTTGAAGCAGTAGCAGAGGAGGCTCGGAGGAGCTGGCGTGTGGCACCAGCACCGTGAGTGTCCTGGTCTGCACTGGTTTCAGTCATCTGGCCCTCAGGATCATGTCTCCACCCTATGCAGGGGTCTGTCTTGCTTACTTCACAAGTGGCTTCAACACAGCTGCTGTGGACCATGAAGCTGATGGGAGCACCAACAATGGCATCTTCCAGATCAACAGCCGGAAGTGGTGCAAAATTCTCAGCCCAGATGTTCCCAACCGGTGCCAGATGTACTGTTCTGGTAGGGCTGGGCCTCAGCCTGGGGCTGCCTGGGGCCAGGCCTCTGTACCTGCCTTGGCTTCCTTCCCAGTGTGGTTTGCTCCCCTTGCCTTTATCTCTGAGTGGGCATCTCCCCATGACCCTCTGGGCCTCCCAAGGAGAGTGGGATGGGGCAAGTGGTGAGTGTGGGCATGGGTCCTCCATGAATCTGCTTTGGGGTCCCGGATGGGAGACTGTCCTGAGAGACATAGGAATGTGGGGAGGGGGGTGATAGAGTGATGTCTGTGCTTCCAGAGGGATTGAGAGACAGGATTGCATTTGGGATGGTGTGTGCATGTGTGTGTGTAAGAGAGAGAAAAACAGACTGTGGAAGTCCAGCTCTGTCCCCTGTTCCCCCATCATGTTTCTCTGCCTCCCCCCCCAGACTTGCTGAATCCTAACCTGAAGGATACTGTCATCTGTGCCATGAAGATAGCTCAACAGCCCCAAGGGCTGGCCAGCTGGTGAGTGACTTGGTCTGGAACCCCTCAGGGTGATGTGGCCAGGACTTGTGGACAGCAAGAGGGAAGTGATCTTTCCTGAGTGTTCACTTCGTCTGGGCCACCGTTCCCTGGCTTCACAATCTACTCTGTGCACAATTTTCGGCCATAGGGATCACTATTTACAGACAACGCAGTGAGTGTCAGGGAGGACGAGCAATTCACTGCAGTTCATGGAGCCAAGCCTGGCTCTTCCAAATTATACCTATGTTAGGAAGCCTGCCTATAGGTCTGCCAGGCCTGGGTCTAGCCAACCTTATCTGTCTGCTTGTTTAACTGTGGCATCTTCATCTAAACTAACTTTGGTAGAAAAACCCAAGAGAGATCAAAGAAGCTATTCTTTGCTTGAAGCATGGGTGGGTACCCCAGAGCCTCACCCTATCTGCCTTCTCTTTTTTTGCCTCTTTCCCACAAGATGGCCTTTGAAGCAGCCATCCTCACAGGCAAGGGAGTTGGATGAGCATCTATTTCATGGGGCACTGGACTAAATCTTTGGTTTGCGGAGGGGTGTCTGAGAAAGTGGCCCTACAGCCTTCTCTGATGGGGATCTCACTGCTTAGTCTCCAACCTCCCTTTCCCCACATTTCTGGATGAGAGACCAGCAGGGGCAGAATGTGAGGAGGGTGAAATACCCTAGGTGGCTACAGCCCTGGGACTACAGACAGATGTGACTGTCACAAGGCAGGTAAAGCAATCTGGGAGGCAGTGAATGTCAGCCCAGGAGCAGAGGGAAGGGAGAGAGACTAGAGGTAGGAAGATGGTGGAGAAGCCTTTGCAGGAGTCCAGGTGAGAGATCCAGGGTCTGCACTAGGACAGTTGCAGGGGTGATGGACAGGAGGGGGCTTGGCTAGGAAGGCAGTAAAGGAGGCATGGGGACAGGTGATATGTGGCAGCGAGGGAGAGGACGAGGTAGAAATGACTGTGAATCTAGAGAAGATTCAGACCTTGGCAATGGCCACAGCTTAGGAAATGTGTTGTTCTAAGAACAGTTGACATTCTAGGACCGGAATCTGGAGTGGGGCAGGTCAGCAGGACATACTGCACAAGAAGGGTAAGTGCAGGCTCAGCAGGAGTCTAAGGGTTTGAGACCTTGGATACCCCAACCTGAGATGGAAGAAATGGGTCCTTTTGGGTTAAATGAAAAACAGCTCTCTTTTGTGCGCTGGGAATAAATTCATGTCAGGTATCACCCCTGAGATGTGGCTGAGGCTAATAACAGGCTGTGGTCCTAGAAAGTAGAAAGGGTACTGCTTATTTTTGTCACCTGCACACATCGAGAGTCTGTGCCAGGCTCTGTGCTGGGTGCTGGGCTTCAGAGAGGCTGAGATCCAAGTCTTGGCCCTCAAGGGCCTCACAGTCTAATGGAAGAGACAAACAAGCCAGCTGACCACACTTCGTTGATGGATCTGTAGAGGTCCTTTAGTGGCACAGTTGGTCATTGGGCTCTTTGACATCGACATCATGAGGTTACCAAAGTTTGGTACCCCTGACAACTTAGGACTACAGGACCCCAGGATCTGTTTATCTTCCTTCCTCAAGATGCTAATGTGATGCAGGATCAAGGTAATGGTTCTGAAAGAGCCCATAAACTATAGTTACCAACACTGAAAAGACCAGAATTGGTAGCCAAAGAGAAATGGCTGTGGCTATAGTTTTGGCATTTATTAGCTCTGGATCTTGGGCAAGTAATTTTGCATCTGAGTCTCAGTGTTTGATTTGGAATATAGGGAACATGATATCTGCCTAATCTACATTGTAGGGCTCCTGAGGGTGGGGTGGACTGCAGGTAAATGAATGACGGGTGGGACAGTGCTATGTAGACTGTAAAGTTCTTTCCACTCATAAGGTGGCATCACTGTCAGCAGAAGGAACATGATGTAGGAAAAGAGCACTGGCCTAGGTCTCTGGACCCTGGGAATCCAGACCTTTGCCACTGCCTTTTGGGTGAACTTGAACAAATTGCCCTGTGTCTCTATTGATAAAATAAGGAGCCTACATAGATGACTTTTGAGGGCTATTCTCTTCCCTTTTTACTCCTTCTTTGCTAGTTAATGGGGGTTTACTTGTTGCTTTTTCCCTTACTAGCCCCTTTCTTTACCTCACTTCTGGTTTAGAGCCCACACCTCCTTCCTATTCTTCTCTGAGCAGGGACTGAAGGCTGCAGCTGATTTGGTCCCTTCTCTTCCCCATCCTCCATCCTCAGGGAGGCCTGGAGGCATCACTGCCAGGGAAAGGACCTCAGCGACTGGGTGGATGGCTGTGACCTGTAGGATCCTATGTGGATGGACCAGGCCATGCAGAGCAGGCTGGGAGATGTGGTTTGGTTTCTGATGCAGGCTTGAGAAGACAAGCCAACCAATAAAGTGTGGTTTAACCTAAGTGTGGTTCTCTTCCATCACTGTGTTTCCTGGTGGCATGTCAGAGCCAGAGCAACTCAAAGTTTCTTCACCTGTCCACCTGGGCTGGAGCTTCAGGTGGGATCCAGAAAGCCTACCATGGAAGGCTTGCCTCCATTTCTGGAGACCTGGGGGATCAGTGCCTCCCTTGCCCACACCTGGTAGAGTTTAATAGCCCCTTTACCTGGATCTAGGTTTGACAGATTTAGCTAAACAAAAACCAAAACAGGATGCCTGAGTTAAATTTGAATTTTGAATACACAACAAATACATTTTACAACATGTGTGTCTCCAATATTGCATGGAACACACTTATGAAAAATGATGTGTTATGTACCTGAAACTCAAATTTAGCTAGGCATCTTATATTTTATAAGCAACCTTATCTGGGTCTGGTGTGGTGTATCCCTAGCTTATCTGGGAGAGTCCTTCGGACATTTATTTTCTGTGGCTCTGGTCACAGGGGGTGGCCACAGTGCCCTGGCCCTCCAGCTGGTGACTGCTATCACACTGGTAGAAGCCAAGGGGTGGCGGGTGGTGAGAGGAGACTACCACCATGGGCTTCAGCTAGGTTCTCACCCTGCTCTCCAGTGCCCTCTAGCATCAGGATATTCAAGTGCTGGAGCCCCAGCCTGGGTAAGGAAATTATCCCTGGTCTGGGTAAGGAAATTATCCCTGGTCTGGCTAACCCTTGCTGGAGGATTGGGTGGAGGGTGTGGATGGCTTTCAGGCAGCACAGGGTACTTCTCTGCTTTCCTCAAAATGTGGGAAGCTCTGAAGGTGTCTCCCATTCTCCTCGAGCTCAGTGTCTTAGGTTCTTCAGGATGGACTGTGTCTGAAGAAGGAAGGTATGCAGAGTCTCAGGATCACTGTGGATGTGGTGGCAAGAGAAGTACCCAAGGTGATGTCTGAGAGTCTGAGCCCTGAGCTGAGACTATAGATTCTTCTGGAAAGGACTCAGAGAACCCTGCAGTTCTCTGCATGGTTGGTGTGTCCTAGAGAGAAGAGATGACTGGGATGTTGGCCACCCTTCCCTGCCAACCTGCCATCTCCAAATCCACTGGCCAGCAAACAGCAGAGGGGTGGCTGAGTGTCCACAACTGGTGAGGCAGGCCAGTCTACTTCCGTCCACTGCTGGACTGGTGTTGGGTCGCTCGCATCGCCAGAGTATAGCTGGTCCTCCTTCGTCTCTCCAGAGGAGCTCTTTATTCCAAGTCAAGGTGATGGATGCTAAAGCTTGAGGGCTGCTCACACAAGTAGGCAATGGTGAAGGAGCAAGTCCTTGCTGGGAATTGGGGGTCTGGAGGATCAACCATGAACAGATCCATTCTCATTAAGTCATAGGGAGATACTGCTCTCTTTTTAATATCAAAGCAACACTGTGTGCCTACCAAGTGCCATGCATCACTGAATCTAGACCCTAGGACAATTATTATGATGGGGATCCCCTTGTTTTCCCCATTCTACAGATAAGGAAACAGGAGAGACAAATTTGTATCCAGGTCAATGTGATTCCATGTGTGCTCTTAGGTCATTGTACTTTGCAGACAGGTGGTGGTTCTGGGTCACCTGAAGTCCACTCTCTCACTGCTCACCTGGCCGGAGACCCTTGGTCCATTACCTCTGGATGATTCATGCCGTCTATTTCAACTTCACTTGTTTTCAAGCATGCAAACAGTTGATTGCTCCACTGGGTCCCATTCACTCAGGAGTGGATAACTAAGCATTTGGATAGAGGCAAGAGTCATTAAAAGGACTTGGAGGCTGTGGGCTGGCATGATGGCCTTAGGGCCACTCAAAAAGGGGCTGGGCAGGGGTCAGGCCTGGATTAGGGAGCCTGGAGGCCCAGTGGTGGACCAGGAGCACGTAGAGATGGAAGAGGAGAATCTAGCAGAGAGCCCTCATCTGTGCATGAGGGTTAAATGGTCTATATTTCACCTGGAAGTCCCAATTTCTTTTTTTTTTAATGTTTTATTTATTTCTAGCAGAGAGAGAGAGATAGCATGAGCAGGGGAGGGCCAGAGAGAGAGGGAGTCACAGACTCCGAAACAGGCTCCAGGCTCTGAGCTGGCAGTCAGCACAGAGTCTGACGCGGGGCTCGAACCCACAAACCGCAAGATCATGACCTAAGTGAAAGTCGGATGCTCAACCGACTAAGCCACCCAGGCGCCCCTGGAATTCCCAATTTCTAAGTGATGTGCGCAAGTTGAGGAGAGTAATCAGGCTACGTCCTGGCCTCTCACTGCTTCCACATCACACTCTCACCTCACATTCCATTGTTCATTATGTCCAGTCTCCTTTACTTTTTTAATTTTTATTTTTTTTATTTTTTTAAAATAATTGTTTTTCTTAAGGGGGAGAGAGAGAATCCGAAACAGCTCCAGGCTCTGAGCTGTCAGCATAGAGCCCCATGCAAGACTTGAACCCACAAACTGTGACATCATGACCTGAATCGAAGTCGATGCTCAACTGACTGAGCCACCCAGACACCACTCTTTTACCTCTTTTATAAGATTTTTAGAAGTTTATTTATATTTGAGAAAGAAAGAGCAAGTGGGGAGAGACAGAGAGAGTGGGAGAAAGAATCCCAAGCAGGCTTCTTACTGTCAGTGCAGAATCTGAGAAGGGGCTTAAAGTCATGAACCATGAGGACCTGAGCCGCAATCAAGGGTTGGACACTTAAACAACTGAGCCACCCAGGCTCCCCTCTTTTGCCTTATTAATATCTCTGAAAACTGTCCCTTCTTTCCATCTCAGATATCACTACTTTATTTTTTATTAAAAAATTTTTTTTAACATTTATTCATTTTGGACAGACAGAGAGAGACAGAGCATGATCAGGAGAGGGGCAGAGAGAGAGGGAGACATGGAATCTGAAGCAGGCTCCAGGTTCTGAGCTGTCAGCACAGAGCCTGACGCAGGGCTCAAATTCACGGACCCTGAGATCATGACCTGAGCCAAAGTCGGACGTTTAACCGACTGAGCCACTTCAGCGCCCCAGATACCACTACTTTAAACTCAAGCTCTTGTCACTTTTTTCCTGGGACAATTGCAATGGCCTCTTGAGGATGTCCCTTGCCATCCCTCCCTTCCTGTGAGCTTTCCACCTTGTTCCTCCCTTGCATCCTGGCCACAATGGCTTTTCTCACCTTCAGGTTAAAGACCAAGTTCTTCGGCTTGGTACACAAGATCTTTCAAGAGCCAGGCTCAGCTGACACCTGTAGATCATCTCTCCATTATTCGGAAGCTTTTGCTCTAGGTGGTTTGCATCCCTGGCATCCCTGAGTGTAGCGTGCTACCTCATACCTGTCACCATCTCCTGCCATTCTTCCCTGTCATTACACTCCAACTAATCAATGCTGTCCTTTGAGGCAATAGGCTTGTTTTCACAGAAAGGCTTTCACATCTGCCCTCTGTCTTCCTGGAAGGCCATTTCTTCAGATCTTTGAGTAGCTATTCCTTTCTCTTCAACCAGCTCTGGTCTCCATCTCACTTCCCCAGATTGACGGTAGCTGAAGGAAACTCCTCTCCCCTCCTGTCACTATCTTACCTCCATAGTGTGTATTACTGTCTGAGATGATTTCATGCATGTGTATATTTATGTACATCCCCTTTTTCAATCTCCTTATACAAGATTGTAAGTACCACGAAGGCAGGAGATGGGTCTGTTCCTTCTATTTCCAGTACTTGGGATAGTGGCTGGCACATAATGGGTTCTCTGTGAATGAATCAACCTGTTGAATGCATGACTGATGCGTGAAAGAATGAAAGAATAAATTGTAGGAAGTCAGCTAATGTTTGCAGAATCAGTGAATGAATGAGCCCTGATACCTTCTTTCAAAAGAGCAGCAATTCATGCAATGGTATTAAGTACCAGCTATGTGTCAGGCCCAAGGCATCCCTCAAGATGGACGTACTGTCCCTCCTGAGCCCCCTTGGGGAGACTTTCTACCTCTCAGGGGGCCCAACCTGGCTGATTTTCATTCAAATGCCACCCACTTCCCCCTGAATTATGTCTTGTAGAGGGAGTTCAGTGTGATTTGGGAAGAGCTGGCACAATGTTTTTGTTTTTGTTTTCTCCTTCTTATCCTTCCTGCCTGAAGCTTGGGAAAGTCACTCCACCTCTCCGAGCCTCAGTGTTCCTCAGGGACAAGAGGAGCCAATGAAGGCCACCTAGAAATACTGTGTTGATCGCATAATACAGAGCAGTGAGGCACCTAGTACTGGGCCTGGCACAGTGTGGGGGCCTAAGAAAGGCTAGCCCCTTGTCTGGTTGCCCTGAGCTCTGGGGGTCCACCCGGGGAGGGATGGCGAACACATGTCCTGCCTGTCCTGGGGCCTGGGGCATACTTAGGGAGCCTGGGTCACGTCCTGAACAGTTTGCTAAGAAAAAGGAAGAGGAGAGGGGAGACTGTGAGAAGAGGAAGCAGAAGGAGAAGGGGGATGGTTTGGACAAAGTGGCAGAGATTTCTACAGAAGGCAGGGAGAATGATGTATGTTATTGTCCCTTAAAATTTTTTTTAATGTTTATTCATTTTTGAGAGATGGAGAGAGACAGAGTGTGAGAGGGGCAGGGTCAGAGAGAGAGGGAGACACAGAAACTGAAGCAGGCTCCAGGCTTTGAGCCATCAGCACTGACCCCAATGCGAGGCTTGAACTCATGGACCGCGAGCTGAAGTTGGACGCTTAACTGACTGAGCCACCCAGGTGTCCCTATTGTCCCTTTTCCTAGTCCAAGTGAGCTCATTCTTGACTAGTTTGGCTCCGGGAGACTAATGGGAAAAGGGCTTTTCTAGATCTTTTGTGCTCAATAGGATGAATGCTCCAGGAGATAATTGGCTTCCTAAGGTGCTGTCCCTTCTCTACCTGGAGGTACAGCTGAGGCAGGCAGAGACTCCTGGCAGCTGAGGAGGATTCTGCGGAGCTCTCTTCCTCGGCTCAGTCCCTGTGCTCTGCCTGGGAGACTCTGTCTCAGCTGGTACA